AGGAATGCTTCGAGCCTATTGTGTGATAGAAAAGTACCGCATAGACTGAAAGGAAAATTTTATAAGATGGTGATGAGACTTACAATGCTCTATGGCATAGAATGTTGGCTTTTAAAAGAGAAGCACAAAATTAAGTGTTGTTGAGATGAGAATGCTTAGGTGGATAAGTGGCTTTACACTTAGAGACAAAATGTGAAATGAATATATTCGTGATAGGGTTGGTGTAGCTCTTGTGATGAACAAAATTAAAGAGAGGAGTCTTAGATGATTTGGTCACATTGAACGTCGACCATCTGATGATCCGGTTAGGAGGATAGATGTTTTGTATTCGACTTATGTTAAGAAATGTAGAGGTAGACCTAGAAAAATTTTGGCATATTGTATAAAAAATAATCTTAATTTATTAGAATTAAATGAAAATATGACATTCAATAGGACGCAATGAAGAAAAAAGAACCCACTTAGTAGGATAAAGGCTTGTTGTTATTGTTGTTGTTGTTGAGTTTATCTATTTTGGAGAAGTTTTCTTTGATTCTGCTCTCTAGAGTGTTGTGGCATTCCTTTAGCAAATGGCATGCTTGTAACTTGCTCACGAACAAGTAGCAGAACCTCCTCGCCACCTGTCTCTCAATGTTCACCATCCAACCCGCAGTTTTTCAACCAAACGACCGCCAAAATCTTCCGTTCTGCTATCCAACAGCAGACCTCACCAACCATACCTTCCCAAACACCGTCTATCCACTGTTTCAGCCGAGCACCAATCCTTCGTCGCTGCTACTGCTGTTCAACAGAAGAAAGGGGACGTTCAGCAGCAGGAAACCGCAATTTCCAGTGTTCAAGACTGCTGCCCTGCCGTCAGTCAAGCTGGAATTCAATCGACATCCTTCCTCTGACTCCCGTTACCCATCTTACAACACCCCTAACCCTCCTAAGCTTTCTAAACACCTACTAGGAGTCCAAGAATGGTATCAATCAGTTAAATTAGAAAGCCAAATCTTGAATTGTTCAACATCAGCATGGTCGTTGAATTTATCCTCCATTCGTGCCTTCATTTTCTTTCGACTTGGTTTCTTCTTTAATGACCAAAATGCCATAATGACAAGCATGCATAATGGAGATCTCACCGATGATGGATGATAATTACCTACTACTATCATTCTTTTCCCCATGAAATTTGGAATGAGTTAATATTTCAACATAAGTTAATTATTGACTTATGGTTACTTGTACTCAAAAAAATACATCAATCGCAAAATAAGATATTTACAACAATTAGCTTAATGGTTGAATAAATAGATGTTTATCAATTAATATAGTTAGAAATGTAAAATATTCCTTCTTTTCATGTGTTCTAATGCGTTGTATCTGTTTTGTAACCACTAGTTAAAAAGATGTGAACATTACTTCTATAAGTGAAGCTCAGTTGTTACAGGGAAACAATTCAAGGGTATCACAACTAAAAAGATAATAATAATATTGAGACAAAAAAAAATTTGATTATGTTATATTATAACTGAAAAAGAAATATTTATTGATATATAAATCCATATGTTAAACTATAAAAGGCAACAAGAACAACATTGAGCATACAAAAACAAGCATTTCAGACTGAACATGTATACAAATAGAAAAATAAAATAAAGGGATAAATAATTATTTTAGCAAGAGAAAGAGCATGGCCCAAATTTGAAAAGGGTAAAATTGGATTTAAGATAAACTAAGTTGGTTTCCGTAGGAAGAACTAGGATTTTAATACTAGAAACTGAAGCTCAATTTAGGGTTGATCGAGGTAGTCGATTCTATAACTTTTTTAGAAGAAATTGGGTAACCATATTTAGCAATCGATGTTTCAATGAAGGATTTGAAGCTCATATAATGACATAAACCATGTTGACTCTAAAAGATGTTAATGGATTTTAAGTGAGTAGAATAGAAGAATCATCAGTCCATGTTAGAATTTTATTTGAAGAAGAAAAGACGAAGTTTGTTAAAGATTCTAAGAATTCAAAAGCAGGCTTCTAGAAGAGGTTAGAATGGAATCATGTAAACTTTGTGCCTACTTGCCTCAATTCCTAATAGGATTATGTCCTACCTCGAAGTATAAAAGAGAGAAGTATCTACTAAGAGAAAATGTCCTGATGTAACTATTAGATTTAAGAGAAATTAGGTTGGTTCTTATAAAAAGAAGAATGGTTTTAATGATAAAAACTGGAGTTTAATTTAGGCCCAATCAAGTTGATTTTTGGGATTTTTTAAGAAATTGGGTAGCCAAAAGACATTTTAATGGAAGAATGGAGAGCGTAGAAAGTATAAACCATGTTGATTCTAGGTTTTATTAGATTTAGAGTAGGATTGAGAAGTCATCAATCCGCTTCATGATTTTATTTGAAAGAGAAGAGACAATTTGTTGAGAATTTTAAGAAATCAAATTATAGCTTTTAGTAGAGGTTACAATGCCGTCATGCCAAGTCTATTTCTCCTTGCTTCAATGCCTAGCAGAACTATGCCATGCCTCAAAGTACAACAGTGGGAAACATCTATAGTAAGAACCCATCTTGATTAGGAGGAAGTCTAGATTTTAGAGAGGAAGTTAGCGTTTTGGGAAGAGAGTGCACAAAAATTAAGTGAGTAAGGGGTTAAAATTAAACTCTTCCATAATCCTCCATATGTAAAGCAATAGAATAGGTTTTATATGTAATTGAAAAACAAGATAAAATTTTATATAATATGAATCAATGTTTAGAAGAAAAGATCCTGCAAGGTAACATAATCTTATTCAAAGATTATCCTAGTAATTTTCTTGCTAAGAAAATAGTATTTCATTAGTCATAAAACAACCAAGAAACTAATATGACCAACCTGCCCCTTTGACAAACCTTTCAATTAAAGAATCCCTCCATTTATTTTATTATGTAGCTTTTTGCACAAATTTACTGCCGAACTACCCTATCTAAATAAATATCTAGCTTCCAATATAGTTAACTCTAAAGGATGGAAGTTTATTATAAAGTAAATGAAAATCCACATTAAGCAAAAGGAGAACTTGATGATTGTGAAAATGTAGCAAACCATAGATGAAAAGGTCTGGACATATACAAATGATAAAAGATACACCAAGTAGGCATGCTGAAAGAATTAATACGAAAGTATAATAGAAGACAAGTATTCTAATAGTAGTTATGATAAATGAATTGAACAAATTACCACCTTCACAGAGCTTGGAAGGAGAGAATTAAAGAAGATGATTCATATAGTCTAGATAGTAATGATAAGACTAAGATGGCCATGATGAATGTTTAGGAATTTGGTCATTAATAATAAACTCCCTAGGATAGTTAACATATTAATTTTTTAATCAAATTGGGTACATATTTTAACTACATACAAAATCCATTAATGCATTTTTCATATTAAAACCTAATTTATGGCAGTCTTTTTAAGTGACTTTATGGTATCATGCTTAATTATGTAACTCCTTAATTTTAGGGTAACTTAGATTGTTAAAGAAGATGTTCATAACAATGAATACAGAATTTTAAGAAATTGATTTGCATAAATAAATAGCACGCTTTGCAGATTCTAAGCTATCCACATTTAAATCTGACAACTTGAGCATTTCTTCAATTGTTTGAGTTAGGTAATCCGGACTTGGTTCACTACTTAGTAGCTTAAATCATGTGTATTAGATGCTATGTATATTTTGCAAACTAATTTCAATGACTACATGGTTGCTATGAAATAATTAGCAAAAAAAAAAAAGCAACCTTTTGGCCATTCATAACTCATGTTATGGGGCAACCTTTTGGCCATTCATAACCATTCATAACTCATGTTATGGGAACCTTTTAAAATTCTTAGCCTTTTTTCATCAATTTTTAAGGGCATAATGTTGAGGATGTTGAACTATGATTACTATTGATAAGTTGCTAGTGAATCTCTACCATAGAATTGATTGAAGGGTTATATGTTCCATAAGATGCCTAAATGAGGTTGAAATAATTAATTAGTGCAGATGGCCTACTTTATGCTGCCTCAAGAGCAAGGATTGCTGTGTTTGGCTCAATACAAGGTGGCATAGCTACAATTAACTCCCTCCCTCCCTTCCTCACTACCACGCTCCCTCCATTGATTGTTTTTTTTTTTAAACAAATTATGTGGGTCTAGTTAGCAAATGTTGTCGATTGAAGCTTTTTGAAACAATTTTGTGTTGATATCACGACCTTGGTTGTGTGACTGTCGAATTTGATAGATACATAATGGTGCTTCTTTCCGTAAATCTTTTTTTATAAATTGCTCTTGTGGGCCTCTATATAGTCTAGTATTAACTTTACCATGTATACTTAAGATTGAGGGTTTAGCTTATATTCAGTTGTGAAATCAATATCTTTGATTATATTATCCGATCTACTTCTCATTTCTATATCGAAAATTTCTGTCATATTATGAAAATGAATAATGCTATGAAATCTTTATGTTCAAAAGTCACATCCTGCCAGAATGTTGCAGTATTTTCTGGACAATTGGTTGGGCTTGACAGCAACCCTAGCTCACTTCGTAAACTAAGAATCATAAACTTTAGACATCAACAGATTAATAAAAAAAAAAGTTGCAACGGGCAACTAAAACAAAGACAAAAAACTGGAGTTTGAGAGGAAATCTCAGACGAATTAATAAAACCTATTCAACCGTAAAAATCACAGGCCAAAAACATAACGTGAATGAGAACAGATACCCCGTCTCCCAAATTTCTTCTAAGAATTCAAGCAACAATAATAAATCCTAAAAGTTTCATGATCATAAACCACCATGAGACTATTAAAAGAAGTAGCATGATAAGATAAAAAAAAAGAAAGAAAGAAAGAAATTTAACTTTCAATCGGTTAATTAGGGACGCGTTCTGCGAAATCTAACCAGAAAACAAAAGGCAGCCATGTCCAAGTAGCAGATGGAGAAGAAAAGAGAAGAATTAGAGAGGAATGTATCAATAGCCTTTAACTTACAGTGTGTTTGCGTGCTGTATATCAGCTTCAAGGACTTTGAGCGAATCCTTGAACGATTTCCTTGTGTAAACCATTAATATCTCCACCAAATATCATCCAGCAAAGCTAGAATAATCTAGCCCTATTCCTCCTTAAAAACCCTAACCCCAAGCTTCCGAGAGCCCTGGCTTTACTCGTTCCCTCCCAAACTCCGCTTTACGATCAACCTCACGATTCTTTCCTTTCAAAGAGCAGGGCGGAAAACCAGACACGGGTGACCGAAATAAGCGGTTATCAGTGACACGTGTCGGTTCATCAAAATTTAACAGATGGATATACAACGACAGATTTACAACATACCGGTCAATTCTTATTTATTTACATCTCCAACATGAAAAGAGGTATAATCTTATTCTTGAAATGACATGAAATATTTAGATGATATAAATATAAATAATAAATTTTAAGTGTTAGATGTATAAATAAATAAAAATTAGGTGGCATGTATGTCATTGTCCCGTTCAATATCGTAAATAATGATAAAAAATTATTGTATCATGAGTCAAATAGAGTCTTGCATCAGAACTCTAATCAGGATCTACAAAGTGTACAAATCATATATTAAATTAATATTTTTTTTACTAAGATATGTCTGCGTGTACACATGACAGACCCAAATTAGAGTCTTGATGCAAAACTATTTCAGGACTCCGGATGCAATAAATTTTTGAATTGCATTAGAAATTATTCCATGAATATCTCCATCGCGTCGTCAAACACATGACATGATGTGATTCACATCGTCGTCCATAAATCCGATTAACCAAATATAATATTTTCTCAAGTTGATTGCACCGCGTACTCAATCAAAGTTTAATATGATTTAGAAGTGCAAGTTTATCGATCAATAATCCATAAGAAGGTTAAATAAAGAAGTTAGTTTGGTGGTGGCAAAAATGGAATAATATTTTACAACCGTCGGTGTCCACATTATCCTTTTTAGGTGAAAGGAAAAAATATAAAAAAAATAGTGGTCCACTAATCCACCTCCAAGATATTTTAGGCAGGGAAATTTCTAGGAGATTCTGATTAAATGAGGTTTAAAATTAGTAAATTTATCTTAAAATAAAAATTATATATATATATATATATATGCCTTTATATTCCTAGCTCGAATGTCATAAACATAATCATTATACTATCAATTTGAGACAATTTATTGTTATAAAGGAATAATGATTGTAATTTTTTATGTAAGTGATTATAAAGTTGTTGTGTGAAAATTAATTTTTTAGAAATTTTTTTGTGTGAATTATAATATCTTTTTTTTCTAAAAATTACTTACAACTATTGCACATTAATCAAAATGGTTGTAAAAAAGCATTTTCTTATCATAGAAATTTTACAAAGCGAAAAAAATAATAATTTTGAATAGAGCTGTGGTGACGATCTGAAACGCAATGCAATTAGAAAGTTGTCCAAAATAGATCTTGATTATATACATGCACACAAGCTTATGATGCACATTTTATATTGTTTGATGTTCTATTTCTTATTTCTATCTTTGAGTTTTCTTTTTTTTTTTTGGCTTTGTCTCTTTGCGGCACCCTCGCAATCTCTAAGTTGTTGTCTCATCAATTTAGACCCATTTTGTAATTTTAAATGAGCACTTAGACAATGCTTAAAATCCATAATTAAGTTCATTAGAAGCTTTCCACTTTTCTTTTCCCATCTTTATTCTAAATGAAGAAGAGAATGGTAATCACTACCAAAACCTATCTAATGGCAACAAGTGTACTATGCTATAGCTGAAAAAACAAAGAACATCTCTAAATTAATCATTACATCTTCTATAACTATGGACACATCTTCTATAACTATGAAATTTATTATCATTTGGGGTTTAAATATACTTGTAGTTTGCATTAGTATATCATTATAACTAAGCACACATCCCAAACCTTAAATCATTGTCGGATTATTCCACTATGTTGCCAATGGTGATGTGCTCGTCCTAGCTTAAATTAATTTAACATGACTTCGGAAGGTTGGGCCCAAAGTGACCCAAAAGGGCCAATCATTGGTCAATGGCTCAAAATGGTTCAGTTAGATTTGAATTTTGCTCCATAAGACTAAGGGGAGTTGAATATGTTAAGATTTTTAACCCTAAATCATCCAATAATTTATTCTGATTAACCCGAACTCGAATTTTTTTAGTCGGATTCAGGTCAATTTTTGACTCCCATAGTTTTCATCTTTTGAGTTGACATTTTGCTTATAATTTTGTATTTGATCCTAAAATAAAATATTGCAGCACTTGCATGATTCACATTATCATTTACATCAACCAATATGCAAATCGTACTTTACATCATTATAAATTTTTTCATATGATATTTTTAATGTTGGTGTTTTGGTATTTGTGAATTTATTTAAAACTTTGTATTACATATTATATTAATGGCAAAATGAAGCGGTCGATATTTTATGTAATGATTTTTTTATGACGTTCTTTTGTTATATATTATGATCTATTGCAAGCAAGGAACACGAAGTATTAGATTAAAAGTTCTAATTTGAGAATATTTAAAATATTTCTTCTCCAATTTAATTCATTTTGTGCATTTATTTTGTTTCTTTTTAGTATTATTTTGAGATTCAATACTTTTCTTATACACTAACATTAATATTTATAGTTACTTAGAGATTCATGTAGGCTTGAATAGATGTTGTTCTCAAACCTAAAATACAACAAATATCCTTTAATACATTGATCACTTAAATTTTTTTTTTTTAATTATAAAAATATACACTTATCTAGTTCATAACCTAGAAGATAATATCATTATTTTGAAAGCCAATTATTAGATTTTGTAGCATAACATTAGAAATGCACCTTGAGCTATAGACACCAAATTAGCTGATAAGTGCCTGCCAAAATAAAGACAATTTATAGGCTTAAATTTTTTTTGTGTATATATTATACTCTTATTGTAATTATCATATGCATAAAGACTCCAATATATATGCCAAGACATCCACCCTATCTAGTGACATCATTAGTCATATTATTTTCTTATTGATTAGTTCATTTTTCAAATGATTAATACCTGAACGAGATGATTTAAAACTTATGAAAGCAAGGTTACACAAATTCACCTTCATGAATATATACGACCATTGCTAGAACTTAATGATCACCATGGTTGAATTGCAAGAATTTTCTTAAGCATCTTTTAAATTGATAGTGGAATAATTTCACATATCCCACCACTTGTGTTAAACTTTTGAAGGCAAATTCTTATAGTTTTTGCGGACCTAAACTTTGAATTTGCTTCTAGCCAAAGCATAGACCCCTTCAAGGAATTTTGAGATCAATATAGGCATTTTCTCTCTAATTGTTTAACAAATTTAGGTCATATTCACTAGGTCAATTGTTACAATTTATTTTCTGCGACTATTGTATAGTTATTTCTCCTTCATGTGAAATGTCTCCTTGAGCTATAAAATTCATTCACTTAGCACTATCACTTGAGATTCTATGTGGCCCTTTCTTTAATCTCCTTTATACAATATTTCCTTAGACAATTAGCCTTGCATCTCATCACCCTTTCTATGTCTAGTCTAGTTAGCTCATTGTCACTTGAACTCTTTAAGGGATGACATCAAATCCCTTATTAGCATTCTTTGAGCATTCTTGTTCATTGTGGTACCACTTGTTTGACTAACCACTTTGACTTGAAACTCCTTTATTATGATTACCATGATGAAAAAATCTTAGTGTTAAATAAAAAGTGCAAGTCAAAAAATTTTAATCAAATGTATTATTGGCATTATGCCAAGGATGCAATTAATCATTATGACTTGTACCTATGAAAAATCTAGATTCCAAGAACTAAATAAAATCCAATTTGAAACCCCACATAGGTGTATGAATACATGCATGTGTATATGTATATAAGTATTTCTATATAATTATTTTATTATGATTGCATTTATACATCCATGTATAATTTTATATGTACTTGTTGAAATATATGGGGAAGTTTGTTCAACTTCAAAGTTATGTAAAACAATCCAAATCAAACTATTATTTTCCTTTAATTCACTCCCATCAAAATAAATGATTCACATGTGCCTTAAACTAAGATTAAATCAACTAACCTTATAGACATCATGATTTGACTAAAAATCAAATTGAATCACATTTGGGCGATGTTTGGTATCATACTATTTATAGGACTTAACCATAGATTTAACTTAATTCAGGCCAAACAACAACAAAAATAATAAATCCAACGCTCCATTAAATTTAATTTTCCCGTGTTCCGTCTTTTTCTTCTCTTGTATCATCATTATTATGATCGTTTTTATGGTGTAAATCTGAATTTAGTACATCCAATTGCTATGTGGACTTATTCTGCCGTCACTCAACTCTTCTGTCACGTTGTGGATTTGATAAATCCAAATTTATCTAATTTGATAAATTCTACTTAACATGAAACTAAGTTGAAGCAAAAAAACCGTCTTGAGCTGATTATTTCAACTCAAAATCAAATCGCTCGTGACCCCGTCTTATACGGATCATTAACTGATTATCGTCGAGAAAAAAAATTTACGAAATTTGACGGAAAAATTTTAAGTTATTTACGTCTAGAGCTGTATTTGTCATTTGTTAGTAGACATCGTATGTAAAAGACACCAGGAAAATAATATAACAATTAAATAAACTAACTAAAACTAAAGCCAGTCTGGACTTGGTTCAATAACTTGTGAGCCGGCTCATTTAAAAATACATAATAAAAAATATAATTAAAATATATTAAAATTCAAAATTTTGTATATAAACTACTAAAAATATTTTAAAATTTCACATTTTTTTATCAAGTGATTTTAATTGATTAGTTTATTTATTATTTTATTATAATATTAATTTGAATTACTATTTGAATCAGTGAGCGGAAAACTTACCAAATCCAGCTAATTAATTAGGCTCAGGAGAAGTCAAAGATGCTCCAATTCCTACTATTTGCACCTGTAGCCGCTGTTTCTACTTTCCGGTATCTTTTGCATAATTTGCAACGGCCTCCTTAACTTTCCTGAATTAACAGTCAGAATAAGTTATTGCTATTATTTTTTGGGTGAGTTTTGCAATATTTTTTTTGTCCGGGGACGTTTCTGAAATTTCAATTTGTTTTGAAAATAAATTAAGAAGCTTCCATTTAAATACGAAGAATATGA